AGCAAAGAAAAAGCAGGATTGTATCCTCCAGATCTCCATGTCGTCTTTTCCGTGTAGCATATCTATAAACAAACACCCAGAGTTTAGTTGTATTTACTAGTTAACCATCTGGTATATACTACCTAAATATTTAATATATATTGCTGCTGTTGGAACAAAACCTTGCATCTCCAAAATGGTAACATTACAGGAGAAGGAAAAAACATACTTTACTTTTAATGTAAGTCACTAGAACCAGACTTCTTTCCAAGTCATTCTGGGCCATTTCTTGTGGTCCATTCATCATGAAATCTATACACAATGTAAAGGGCAACAGGCATTTTCAAATTATGTCAAATGAAAATACAAGGTTTTGTTCCGGCAGCAGAGATATATAATATAATCAGTATTTAGTGTGTCCATCCTTCGCCTTTATTACAGCTTCCATTGTTTATACGAGACTTGCTCTTTTCAAAGATATCTGCAGGGATGTTTTTTTACACCTCCAAAGTTCAGTCTTAGAAATTCTGTTTGTTCCACTTATTTTCATTTGACTCTCCTCTGCTTTATGCACGTAGATTATCTTATGTCTAATCTCTTCGGAAATATCTCCTGAAAAATGAATAGCTTGTATTTAATTACCATTTTGTTTGGGAAGTACTGTATGTTGCTGTTCCAGCAGTATGTATTTTAATGTCTGCCATTTTGAAGAAAGTCTTAACTTAAGAGATGTAAAAACTCTTAACTTTCAAGAGGGGACTTTGTATGGAGAGCAGAGGCCACTGGCTGTCCAGATTTCAGCATGGCTGCCACAGCGCTAACATGCTGCCAGCTTCTGCTAATCACTGTCATTATCAGCAATCTTACTGTCTTATCACTCGTAGCACAGCAATTAACCCACTGTTGATTAACATCAATAACTTTCCTAGAAGACACAAAATCATTACATTAGATCATTCCAATTTCTTGCTGCTCTGAGAACACCTCCTGTCTCTAAAACAACATGTCAGGATTGGAGGAAAATGTGCAGACTTCCCACTGTTTTAACCTAATTATCATGAAACGAAGAGTTATTATTTTAGCTGCTAGAACTTTTAATCTAATAAACAGCATAATGCAAACAGTCTGGTTTTGGAGGAAATAATTAAAAGATCAAAAATGTCTGCTGTAAGATTTTATGCAGATTGCTTTCAGCTAGAATTGTCTAACAACATGGCTGACATAAATATAGTATTCTCTCACCTTTTTTGCTGTAGCAGCTTGTCTGCTGTGTCTGTAAATCATCAACTTTATGGCACTTTTTATTACCAGCACTGTTGCGATGTAATTGAATTTGTCTAAACTGTCTCACTTCTCTTGTCTAAATATTTTTAGTTCTGGTTCATGACACGGTTCAAGAGAATGCAGAATGTAAAAGTGCTGCTATTCACACGTTCTCTAGCTGTCAGAGAGTGTGGACATCAGCAGGGCATGGTGAACTGAGGAAACTAATTTAACACTTTTTCCAAATAAGAGCCCACAAGCTCTTTCAAGAAAGCCCAGATGAAATCAATTTAGTCAAAGTTGGGCTGTCTCTCCTGGGTTCTTCTGACGTTTTGCACTTGGCAAAAGCGATTGTCTGCATTAATCTTAGTGAGAAGTAGCAGGAGAACGGTGCGAGAACAGTGTTGTTAAGTAACAAGAGAACTGACAAGACAGATGACTAGATGCGATCACTAAGATGATGGATATTTTAAGCAGTGTTACCATCTGAACGCTCTTGCTTCGCCATCTCTAACCTGAGAAGAGACAGAGAGATGAAAGCTTTTTATCATTAAGTGTCATTATCATAAGGAATCAGGCTTGAAAAAAAAACAGAATAGACACAAAAAAGGATCAGGTGGTGTGCGCTGTCACTCCAGAGGCCAGACGTACTCACTATTCCCTCTTCATTCCCGGTCAGTAAGCGTGCGGAGATACACCCAGGACAGCACAGACTGAAGCACTCAGATTACATCACCACTTTCTCCTATCAAATGAGCCAGAAATTAGAACAGATGAGGCACATTTCCCATGTCCCTCTTCATGTCAGCAAGGTCACAACTATAACATACTGCAGGGCTAAAGGTCAACTCCATTTCAGCTCCAATTCCGCTCACACATAAGACAGGAAAGTAATTTAACTTAGAGCTGATTCGATTGTGACCAATGGCACTTTTTCAATTCTCGATTCACTTCCCTTTCAAGTCCTATGGTCTAGTGGAACTGAATAGAACGGACTGTGTCTTCACTCTGAAAGAGCAGTTAAAGCAGTCAAGGACTCTATTAAATGGGCATTCTTGCCTAAAACTAGAGTTTAATATGTTATTTGTCGTGTTATCCAATATGCTATAGTGTGGCTTTATATCCCTGAGCCTCATTAGTTTGACAGAATATAAAAAATCCCCTCAAAAGCAGTTATTTCAGAAGTTCCTAGTCTTCGAACTAGAAAGTCTGACTCTAGAGACTACCGTGGCACTGCTATTGGAATGCAAGTAAGCATGGTTACAACACATGTTGCAGTGGTTAAATTTTTCATAGCAGTTTTTTTCAGTGTCTCTTTAATGTTATGCAAAGAGTTGGCTAACTGAATCAAAATTTGCAGCAATTTCTGCACCGCGCCATTTTTATTTTAATATAAAAGTGGCTTTGATTTGCTCTTCATTGAGAGTCTGTTTTTGTACAGTAATAAAAAATTTGTCAGAATTGGATGTGCAGCATTGCACAAACCATTCATGACTGTAAGCAAAAAATGTTCTCCTTTAACAACTATGAAGCTGCTTTGGTATCCTGAATCAAAGAATTTCCGTATGTTTATCTCTCAGAGACTAACAACCTTCAGGCTGTATTATAGCCTGAGGAACATGTGTTAATCTACTGAGCAAGGGCTGTCATAAACAGCATACCATGATGTGCTCTGCTCCGTTTTGGCTTCAGCGAAAGCTGAAAATACTCTCGGTGGTGTTTGACAACATGAAAGTGATGTTAAATGAAAAGCATTTTTTTCCCTTTTTTTAAAGTTATACTGTACACCCTTTGAAAAATCCAGCTCTCTAGCTCTCTTTTTAGAGCACAAATTGATTTCAGCCTGCTTACAGTGCAATTTTTGGACACGAAAATGGGACGTGTAGTTAAAAGGAGCTTCAATTAATTTGGAGATCCGGTGCATTTTCTGTTTCTTAAATTCTATTTTCCAGGAGGAAAAGGCCCAAATAGACCTTAATCCCTGCGAAGGAATGTGAATTAGATGGGGGCAAGCACTTTTTAGCCTTCAATAGGACCATGTTTGCATTTTCATACATGCAAATGCACACATACACACACACTGAAGGCAGACAGCTGAGGTCGACCGTCAGTGGTGCAAGCGTTCGCGGCTGCTGTCACCATGGGCACCCTCAGAAAGTGTGAGCTCTGTCTTTTTATAGAGATGTGTGAGTGTGTTGATTTGTTCACACCTGCACTCTGGACTCCCAGTGTCCTGACACAGATGATTTGACCTGGCTCATCACCCTCAATCCAGCATGAAAAGGCCAAACATAGAGCTGATGGACATGGACATGGGCATCAGAATACAAGCTCTCCTTATTGCTCTGTAATTATATCAAGATGATATCAGTGTAATCTAGCACAAAGCTGATGACCTCAATCACACATCGATATGAACATATGTGGCTCATTTGGGTCTGCTAGTGTTTTGCCTTGTTAAATTTTGCAAGAACACTCTGAAATAATGTTGCCAACAAGGTGTGATGCCAGAGAACAGCGGTTACTATTTTTGGTTCTGGAGTACCACTGCCTTGTGTATTGTATTGTTTTCAGGCTTCTAACTCATTCAGTTTACTTCACGACAGGCCTTTTAATTGTCCACTCGCAAAATTCTGACAGGCCCCACCTCCCGTAGTTGCAATGTCAAACCTCCAGTTTGGGCTGCCTGGTAGTATACGTAGCAATTTTCATAGGTGTTTGAGAACTGACAGTATGAATACAGGCTGAATTGAATTAAAAATGGATTCTAGAAACCATATTTTTATCAATCAAACCAGGGATTTTTTAGTGACTGGATGTTAAAGTGGGAGGTTTTCATGTCTAACAAGGAGATTTGAGCAAAGAAAGCTGCTCTTTCAGGTGAGCTAATGCTGGAGCTAGTTGCCATGAGAGAAGAACCACCAAAGTTGGTCACCAGCAAAACGAGCATATGTTGTGGTTTGGGTGCTGGTATGTTGGTCACCTAGCACCAAGGCCAGCACTAAACCAGCATAAACCAGCTTAGACCAGGAATTCATGCTGCTCTGTGCTGTTTTTTTAAGCAGGGTGGTCCAATGTTCGGTGCTAAAGAGTTCTCATTTTCTTGTACATAAGATACTTCAGCCAATTTTAATGAATTAGTACAAATGATAGCACATCAATATATCTGCACAGAATTTTTTTTATTTCACATCAGAAATGTGAACACTGAAAACTGTTTAATCTGACTAGTTTTTCAAGTTACTTGTCCACAGCTAAGGTAACAAAAGCTAACTTAGCTAGCTAACTCATCTTAACATTGTTCTATACTGTTATTTATCATTAGACATCATGTTGAAGCTAGTATTAGCACCTATAGTAACCTAGATAAAGTTTAGCATAACTTAGAGCTGCTTGTTACTAGTTTTGACATTGAGCTGTGAGTTTGGTCTTCCACTTCCATCCAAAACTTTTCCAGCTTTAGGAACCCCCCATATGATCAGGACAGCATGTGTCATGATTTACTGTCACCATCATTTTCACTGCAGGTTTGTTTTTGAGGAGTTATATCTGAGCTCTTTAAAAGTAGAGGTAGTAGCGCTCGGAGATGGTTGTGGAAGCATGTCCATTATTATTTAGCAAAAGGTCAATTAAAGGTTTTTCCAAGAACTGTAAATTCAAGCCACAAACTATTTATTAAGCTTTATTTTTAAAAGTAAAAGCATGTAAGTGAATTGGCTTGTACTGAACCATATTTTCTCTCTCTGTGTGTTTTGCAGCTTTCTTTTGCGGCAACAACTCCTGTCCTGGCAGACAAGAAAAAGTACCCAAACTTTTTCCGAACAGTTCCCTCAGACAATGCGGTGAATCCAGCTGTGGTGAAATTCCTCAACTACTACAACTGGAGCAGAGTTGGCACATTGACCCAAGATGTCCAGAGGTTTTCAGAGGTAAGTCTAAAGAACTGTGTGGCTTATACAGAAACCTGTTTACCAGTGTTTTTCCAAGCTATGGAGGACAGAGCTAAGTGAGACTGCCTCTTTTGTCTAGAGCAGGTGTATAATGATTGATTCATTTTAAGTATGGGGCATTTTTGCTTATGCCTTCTTTTGTGCCCTGTTTTGGTTCATGAATCATGAGAGCAGAAACAGGAATGAGGAAATTCTGAGTTATCTGTGAAATTAGGATTCAAGCATGCAAATGTCCACTTCAAGAGTGTTTGATGTTTGTTTAAAAAGAACAGTACACATTCCAGCCGCCTGTTTGATTTAGACATGGTTGTTTGGGCCATATTTTTGCCAGAAACAGTGAAATGAAACAAAAAGGAAGCTTATGATGTTCCATGACTGTTCTTGTCATGAATCTACTTGCACAGATGTACACAGAAATTATAGGCCATCTTTTTTACTGCGGATATAAGTTTGTTGCTTTCTGTCCCAGGGTTTTTTCTTTTTTTTCTAATTTATTCATTTGTGAAATCCATCTGCTGCCTGATTAAGGTCTCTCTCTTTTGGGAAATGAAATGTCCAAGAGTGACGCATACACTATATCACTCAACGCAAATGGTTGCTGCTCCACACTCTGTGGAAAAGTGATTCTAAGAAATATGAACCACAGTTTTTTTACATGATGAGTATGGGAGGGTGTTCTGCTTTGGTTTATTTTGATGTTAAGAATGTCCCTTTGATTGCAATATAACTGATGTTATGTGATCAGGCTGTAAATTTGATCGACTTTGATTAAATGAAAAAAAACTCCAGAAATATTTCTCATCCTCTTTAGCAAATACTAGGCAGTAGCATTCCTGATGGAGAACTGATTCTTTGATTTTGCTGTGTTCAGGAAATAGGGCAGTGTACCATATTACTGTATGGTTGGTGTAAAGGTTTTCAGTGCACTAGGATAAGATGTACTCTAGTTCAGAGGTTTTTCTTTTTTTTTTACACAGACTGCTGCTTTAATTCAGTATGCTGCTCTGAAAAGGCAGTATAGTCTCTTGTGATTGTAAAAAGCCAGGCTCCAATGTTAGTCCTGTGCTAGCACTAGAATTAGCACTAGTCAAACACTACTCCTTGAATACCTTATTAAGGCTTTTAAAAATATTTAATATTTGAATATTCACTGAATACAATGAAGAAAATGATACTTCGAATGTAGAAAATGTACATTTCAATGTTTAAGCTACCTCCGCAACAGCTCCTAGCCTGTTCCAGGCCAGTTAGTTAGTAACATTATCATATGTGCTGGCTACCAAATGCAAAGAAGATACCATTGCTGGCCATAAATAAACAAAACACAACAAAAAAAAATGAATTAATTTATTCATCTTCTTAAACTGCTTGATCCAGCTAAGGTTGTGGTAGCAGTAGGGAAAGCAGAGAATCCCAGACAACCTTGTCACCTCCGACTTCCTTCAGCTCATTCTGGGGGATCCCGAGCCGCTCCAAGGCCAACAAGTCAGTGCCCCAAATGTGGATGTTTTGTAGCATATTAAGTGTAATCAGTTACCGTTGATACATGTAATACAAAGTGAAGTGAACTGCTAGTTTATAGAGCTACAGCAAATACGGAAGGTTTTTTTGCTACATTCTGTATGTGCACACTTTGGCTCACACAGCCACTTGAGCTTATGATAACAGCATGTTTTTATTAGTGTGGGAGATTTGGTAGGAAAGTCATTCTCAAATATATCTCAGAACATTTTTTTAACAACCTTGTGACCTTCATTTATAACAGCATGAGTTTACAATGATCCTTGATAGCATTTACTCCAGTTGTCCTATATATTTTTCCGCATCTTGTAAAAAATGTATTTAAATTTTGAATGCATCTGAATATTTGACAAAAAACAAGGGGACAAGTCAAATTTAATTTGTTATTCCAGTTAACAGCCCAATACTATACACACACACTTAGGTCAGAATGATGAATATTTTCAATATCAAAATTGCAATTTGGAAGGCTGCAATTTTCAAAATGCGTGACCTGCAAATTTGATTATATTCTACATTATTCACAGTTGTCCTAAGACATTTTATGTGGAGAACCTAAAAAAGCAGAGCTTGTAAACTGAAGGTCTGGCACACTACATTCAGCATTCAAGCGTCAAGCCTGAAAAGATGGATGTGCTGATCTTCTTGGCCTGGAGCCTTATTTGAATACGATTATCATGTTTATATTGTAATCGCAATATTGGTCAGAAAACTGTTAATTAAAATCATTCAGCTCTTCACACACTTCAGAGGCTGGATCCGGATTAATATAAAATAGTTAGAATAGTTAAATATAGCCATAGCAACTGTTTAATGAGTTTTTTGATAGTGTATATGCACATATGCTCTGAGAGACTGACCAGTGTTCACAGTGTTAGCCACCAAAGTCAGTTCCAAGGTTTTTCCTTAACAGAATAAAATAAAGCCTGGCTTGCATCAGCATATCACATCATTATCACATCATTATGTTCACCACATATGCACTTTCACTGTTACTTCTACATTTCCAAATCTAATCTTCCACACTGCTGAAAAGGGCTAGGTCCCCTAGAACCTAACTATCATAGCTATGACCTGTATTTCAGACATACTTCAAATATAAGAATGTCTTGATTGCATTGAACATATATGAGAATGTCTTGAGAGCCTGCTAGTTGAACACAATCTGTGTGGCTGTGGGGAATAGGAAGTCTCTGCAAGAGTAGCGGAAATGGTAAATCCCTTTATCTTGCTCAACATGATGGAGTTGCAGGGCTTAAACAGACAGAGGGGAAGGGCCCGATCCCATCAACCTGGCAGAGGAGGGCTCCAGAAGCCTGATTAGCACATTATGCTAGTGCCACACTGCCACCATCAGCTGTGCACCAAAGCACAGTGGACAGCTACTCAGCAAGATCTGACATTTCAGAGCAGGAAAGGAGGTCATGTGTTGTTTTATTCAAATTAAGAAGTAAAGATAGCCGCGGTTGACGTTAGCTGTTAGGCTTATAGTGTCTCTGGCCATTTCTTGGGAACATGTTTGGACAGTGACTTGCACAGAGACTCTAACTTGCTCAGATCTTTTTAACCTTTATTTATATTTGATAAAGCCCTGAAGAAGTTGCTATGGGGAGCTGAGGGAAGATGTAGGAGAGACAGAAGAACCATGTTGAGACTTTATAGAGCAACATGAGGGTTGGTTCCCCACTTTAGGGGGGCAGTTGCAGTGGTCAGGGGAAGGGCAGAGTTCTTACAAACTGCAGTGTCCAAAAAAAGAGACAAGATCCCTTTAGGCTCAATTTGAGATTTCAGCCAGTACATTCCAGACTTTACTGGTGTGCTGTGCTCACCCATATACGGTAAGAGGCATGACTGAAGTACTGCATCTCTCACATACCCTCCAAATTTGTTGGTACTACACTGACTGTACAAAAAATACTCTCAAAAGTAAAACAGTTATCTTTATGCTACGTTTGCATTACCAGACTGAAGTAGAACAAATCTGATTTTTTGCCCTGTGACTCAGATTTGATGTTGAGAGCTGTGTGGACACACAAATCTGATCTTTTCAAATCAGATCAGAGACACTTTGAAATGTGGTCTGAAATTAGATACATAACTGATTCGTGGCGCCATCATTTAGTGTTACGGAGCAGCCGGAGTTAGTGCTAGTAAACGATGCAAAAGTACTTCATCTGACACTTTTTCACCTTCATCTCCAAAAATGCAAATGATCTTCAAGACAAAATCTTGTTCTGCTGCTTAGTTTGTTGTTCATGACACACATGGTATTTTTACATGACATTATTGATTAGGATGGCAGGTCTTTTCAGGGCACAGGTTTGTTCACGTTAATGATAGATTTGAGTCTCTTACCTACATGAATGTGAATCATCAGATCTGAGCACAAAACTGGAATTAAGCAACGAGGCTTATAATGTACACATAGCCTTAGGTTCCCATTGTGTAGCTTAAATAAGTTTTAAAAGTACACTACTTTCACTTTCCCAGATAAAGGTGCAACGAGTTCATTACTCTGATGCGGCAACAAGCTGCTTGTTAAGGAACTATAATTTGGCGGAAGTAATTGCTAACATTAAAACACATTAAATGCCACGTTCACGGCCCAATTTATTTATTTCGTACTCTATTTTAACCGTTCTATAAAAGCAATAGAACACTCGAGGTTGTGTTATTGTGGATAACATCAGTTAGTAGTTAGCTATCTGTATTCTGTTATGCTCTGTACAGTAGTTAGCAGTTAGTAGTTAGCCGTCTATGTTCTGTTATGCTCTGTACGGTAGTTAGCAGTTAGTAGTTAGCCGTCTATATTCTGTTATGCTCTGTACGGTAGTTAGCAGTTAGTAGTTAGCCGTCTATGTTCTGTTATGCTCTGTACGGTAGTTAGCAGTTAGTAGTTAGCCGTCTATGTTCTGTTATGCTCTGTACGGTAGTTAGCAGTTAGTAGTTAGCCGTCTATGTTCTGTTATGCTCTGTACAGAAGTTAGTTCTGATACACATAGAAGTGAAGTTAGCTAAAAGCACTGCGGCTCAACCGTGCCATTTAGACTTTTTGGTTTGAATCAGTGTGTCCATGCCTTAACTCACCCACCAGTCACTCTCTGATTTCTCTTAGATATTATATTGTAGATATGGTGGTGAGGAATGAGTCAGGAGATACTGTAGTTAACACATACAAAACTCTTTATTTGAAAAAATACATGGTGTAAAGGCTGTACTGAACTTGAACTCTAAATAGACAACAGCTGAGCACTGCAATGCCTCAACAGCCTCCTCTTTCCACATACAGAACAGCAGCAGAGGTGCCGCCAGAGTATCATTACTGTGAGAGATTGGAAGCATTTTCTTAAAAAAATTGTTCTCAGAAGTGTTGTCCGTAATATAAGCCTTTTTTTTTCACCCCTCAAGCACCCACTAACCTCCCCCAGTTATCTCATTAACCCCCGGGGTTGAGAACC